TATGTATAAGTATAGAAATTAAGAGTTTAATCTCTGGTATCAAAGTAACAACTAAGAGTATCATAATTGAGTGTATCTTCACCAACTAGAGTAGATGTTAATCTGAATAATAGTTAATCTTTTTCTGATGTCTTACCATTCCATTTAAACCATCCTTGAACAGAATATTATTCAGTAGTTCCAAATCTATCACCTGAATTAACTGGATTACCATTAAATTATGAAGCTTTGGCTGATACTGCTCTAATCAAACCTTTGCTTGAACAATCCTTTTAAGGTTGAGGATTACAACTTAAACAGAAAGGATTGTATTCTTCTAATGTATCAAAGAATGATCCAGATCCTAATCTTAAAACAGGTCTATGGAATTAACCATTAAATGAATAATATCTATTTTATGGATCTTTACCACCAACTTAGAATAATAATTATTCCATTCTTGGATGTGTAACTTTAGCTTCTAAAGTAATTGGTGCTTAATTCTCAATCTAATAGAATGCAATAGCTTTATATCTAGTATAACTGAAATAAGTATAAATCCAAACGCCTTCAATATCTCCAAATGGCTAAGCTAATTCGACTAATTTTTTAGCTTTATTATTAGCTGTAATATAAAAGAAACCAACTTTTCCTTAGAAAATAGTTAATAATCCATCTCTGATATCTTTAGGTGTTTCTTTTTTATTTGTAAGTCTAGCAATTAATGACCAATCTGGTCTTCCATTTTCATATTATCCACCTGCTAAACCAGTATATCTAAACCAAAATCCATAACCATATTAAGTTGTATCTTTCAAATCATCTTTATGTAATTCAACATGAACAACTGGACCTTTGTCATATTTTGCATTAATAATTCTATTTGGTCCTTCAACACATCTCTTTTTTGGAGGTGGTGGTGTTGGAATTGGTCTTAATGCTGGTTTAACATTTGTTAAGTAAGATCCTTTACAGAAAAATACTTCAAGATAAGCCATGAATCCACTATAAACTGGGAATTATCTTTCTCTTCCAAAATAGAAATAATGTTTTGGTGATACAAAATGATTAACATTAACAAAACTCAAAGATTTAGCATGAACATGTTTGAATAATACTTAAGCATATGCCTTTCTTTAATCTCTACTATAACCAAAGTATACAAAATGCCAATGTAAATGTTAATCTTAATGTTAAACATACTGATGAGCATTTGGATTACCAGATCCTTTCATATTTGCATAAGAGTATGTAGAGAAATGAATTTATCCACCTTTTGGTTTACCTAACCAAGCAGCTAATACTCTTTCTCCTAATAAAATTTATTATTTTCTCAAGGGTGTATTTGATAATCTAAACATTGTATGCCAATTCTCTTATAAATCTGTCTCTTCCCATTTGAACCAACCTTATACTGCATATTCATCTGGTAATAATAAATCAATAAATTCTTATGTTGGTGGTGCTGTGTTATCTTCAATGTCTACATATTTTGATTCTCTAACGAATTAATATGGAACTAATTTTTATGGAGCAACATATGGTTAAGGATTACATGAAATAGCAAATTATAAGAATTCTTATTCATTGATCAAATATGTTCCTAAGCCAATTGCTAATACTGGTCTACTAATTTATCCATTGAATCCTGGGAAATCAAAATATTATCCTCCCAAAACAAATCTTAAATATTAAGGAGTTCCTTAAGATGCTGGTAATGTAACTTATTTAACTAATTAACTATTTGATTGTTTATA